AGTACTTGATATGAATCAAAAGATTAAAAGAAAATATAATATATTTAGCATCTACTTCTAGGGTTTTGATGAAGGCTTAACACTTTAATTTAAAATGAACAAATAATTAGTCTTTACACTGGAAGTAAATTGAATTAATTGGCCTCTTTGACATTGTTTAGATATTGTGGCTAAATATTGAATGCTGGATACTTATTGCCAATGGCAGGAAGAAAAAATGGTGAATTCATTGAATTTAGGATTCATCTTTTTCTCTAAAAACTAGGCTTCAAAATGATTATTTGTTATCAGGTAGATTAAATGCCTGGATTTTCAGTGAACTGATAGAAGTCTGGGGCATTTTGCAGACATGGTCACAGACCAGCAAAGCTAACAATAATGATAGTAGTGTTTTTCACACATTCCCATGAGAACTTGGGATGAAATTATAGCCTAGGTTCTTTTTGGCCATGTACCCACCTCCTGCTTATCTTTCTGAGACGGGACACACCAATCCTTCACCAGGGAAGCTTTCCAAAAGGAACAATAAATAAAAAGCATATGAACATGATTCATTTTTAAGAAACAATGTCAAATACTGGGAGATTTCCATTATATTAAATTTCAGCTTTTATGTAGACAGCATTTAAGAATGAAACTAGAATGACAATGAGAAGACAAAAATAGAAATGTCTGTAAAGATTTATAGAGCAAGCACTATTCTCCATCAGTGATAGTGGAACCACTACATTTGCACTCTAACATCACAGTCCCTATTGCATGAGTAAATAGAAATATCACTGAAGGAAAAAAAGAAGATGAGAAGTGAAGCTAGGCAAGACTAAGTACACACAAAGGAGGTCCACATGAGAAGTGACATTGACTTGCAGGCATGGGTAATTTAATCTTAAGATATATGAAATAAAGAAAGATATCAAACATTTGGGTAAAAAAATCCCAGACCTTATTGTATTCAAAAAAAGTTGACAAAGAGACTATAAATATCTAATAACCCACATGCCCAATTTCTCATTTCTACAAAATTTTATGAGAATAATCTACAAACACATCAAGGGAATCTTTGATCAAGATATGACAAGGGAACAGGCAAATACCTGTAGTCAACATTTTACAGCAGTCTATATCTTTACAATTTCACAGCTGACTGAAAATTATATACCATTGTTGCTTTTTGTTTGACTACAAAAAAAGTATTAAATTCTAAGGAGCAAAATAGCATTTTAAAGGCTGCCCTTATCCTTTCCAACACATTAAGGACTTAGATGAAGCTTTTATGAAAAAGTTAGATAGCACAGTAATACATAAGGCAGTTGGCCTTTATTATGGAACATTTTAACTCACACAAAGAAAAAAAAACCAAAAGTTTAAAAGGAGACACCAAGAAACAAAGGCATAAGTGTAAAGGAGCAACGGAGGAGGGTTTCATTGCAAAGGATGCCAAAAGATCTCAGCTGCCAGAGAGGAAAGGACATAACTAGAAATCAGTCACTAGGTGCTACTGTTGTCTCTTGGGTACTATTGTCTTTAGGGTAAGACCTACAAAAGGGATAGGGGTCAGTAATGGTTCTTCAGAGGGTCAACACTCATCTTTGAAACAGGTTCCATCAAACTGATTGACCTGTCAAGGATTAGGGGAAAGGCAGGTTCTCTCTCAGATCTGTCTGATTAATTGGTTCTCTGATGTTACAGGAATGAAGAAACTAGGATTTGGCTAATGAAGCCCTGGATGTATGTGGATGAGGCACGGAAGTTTCCAAAATGGGATATGGAGGTTTCCAGAAAAGGATAGGACAGTAGTATTAGCAAGAAATGGGGGCAGTTTAAGAACAGAGGCAGCCTACTTTATGAAACCTTAGAGAAGCAAAAATCAAAGAAACTTTTTCTTATTATCACAAAGACTCTCCTACAAAATGTCTCTCCCATGCATATTTTTAAATTGTTCAAGATTCTTTGAAAAATATAATAGAGATAGTTATGTTTAATCCCTAAAAAACGGAGACATATGCTAAAGGTTTTTGCCACTTACATGGAGTATATCCAGCACACAATCAAACCAGAAGAGAGATTCTCTATAGATGGTGAATCAATCTTAGTTTAGTTTAGTGATTTTCCCAAGTTTTCTAGGTTGGTTTGCCCAAGCCAAGTGAAGGGGAAAATTTCCAAAATGTATTCAGAATCTTTGGGCTGTGAGAGTCTCTGAATTAAAAGTTACAACAGTTAATGCACTGAACCAAATAGAAACTTACTCTTTCTGCTTCACACAGATGGTTTCTGTTCTGTTTTTATCTTTAAAGTGCCTTCTTTTACTCTACTTTTCAGTCTATAAACTGCCTCAAATACTTATAGACAAAGGTAAGATTATAAATATTTGGAACTTCAACAGATCTACGATCTCAAAGGCATAGGTATTTATCGGGATCTAACTGAAATGAAAGGTAGAGATTCTTGGCATACATGCTGAAATGTTCCCAGTCACATGGGATACCATAGGTTATAAACTCAGAGCTGACCAAATCACAGACCTAGAGCTGGAAGGACCCTCGGACATCTAGTCCAATGTTCTCATTTTGTAGGTGAGGAAACTGAAGCCCTGAGAGGTTAATTGACTTACCCAAGGTCAGTCTGGTAAGAAGTACTTGCTATGGAGAGGATAAAAAGGATTGCATGAACTGAACCAGAAATCTGAAAACATAGAGCAGATTGTGAACATAAGAAACTCGCCCCTTAACCAACAGAAGTAGGATAGAGGTCATTATAAAGGAGGTATTGTGGTGATGATGACAGTAAAAGATGCAAACAGGTTCAAGGAGCATTTAAATTAAGTAATAATGAAAAACTATTTGATTCAGTAGCTAAAAAAATCTCAAAAGATTAGATTAACTGAATTTAAGAAGATAAAATAATTGAATTATTGGCTATAAGCTTAATACGAGTCAACATTTTGATACAGCAGCCAAAAAAAGTGAATGCAAACTTTGGCTCCATTAGGAAAGGCACTGCATTCAAGAAGGGGGGGTGGTGATTTCACTGTTCCCTGCCCTAGTTAGACCACATTTGGAGTAATGTGTTCAATGCTGGGTACCATATTTTAAGGACCTTAAGAAACTGGAGGGAGTCCAGAGCAGGACAACCAGGATAGTGAAGAGCTTAAAGAACGTAACATATGCAGATCATTTGAAAGAAATGGGGATATTTACCCTAGAGAAAACTTAGGAGAAAATATGCAAATTATCTGTAAGTCTTTGAAATGTTGTGACATGGGAGAGGTATTTGACTTGTTCAGCTTGGCCTGAAAGTACAGAAATAGAAGCAGTAGGCAGTTCTGTACTCAGTAGTTTTGTCCCACCCTAGCTCACACCCCTCGCCTAGATGACAACTGAGGTCGCTTTCATTTCTAAAATATTCTGACTCTCTTCAGTTCTGGGAATCATATTTTCAAAGGATCATGGACAAGCACATCTAAAGGAGGGTGAGCAGGATGGTGAAGGGCTAAAATCACATCATATAATAAATAAATGGTTGAAAAATTGATGATGTTTTTACCCTAGAGAAGACAAGACCTATGGAGGACATTACAGTTTTCAAGTATTTAGAGGGCTCCCACGTGGAAGAAGGATTAAATTTATTTTGCTTAGCACCAAAGAGTAGAACAACAATCACTTGGTGGAAATTTGGGGAAGGCAGGTTGTGAAAGAACTTTCTAACAGAGCTGTTGAACAGTAGAATGGCTTAATCCATAATACAGTGAGCTCCCAATCACAGGAGGCCTTCAAATGGACACTAAACAACAAAACGATCAGAGATGTAATAGAGCATTGATACTTCAAGTTGGACTCAATAACTTCTGAAGTCACTTTTAACTTTATGATTGATTTCTAGAAAAATCATTTATCTTTATTTCATGTATTTTAGCCAAATCCTGCTCCTGGCAGTTGCCACCTCTCTAGTTTGGTCATAAACAGAAACTGAGGACTTATGCCCCTAAAGATGTACAAAATGAGTATCTGTCTTTTTATGGTGAAGAGCCACTCTGCTCTTCATTTAAAGGCTTACAGTGTGTAAGGTGAAATGGAAGACTCACAGAGAAATCCTACCAGCAAGCTTCAAGGAAGGAGGAATGTCATTAGTCTCTAACTACACCTTCTCTTTTAATCAATGGGAATTAGTAATACCAGAATTTCAGATCCCTGCAGTTGCAAAGAGGAAGATGGGTTGGAAGTGTCTGGTTTTGAATTACTTGAAATTCACATGCTTTCCCAAACCAACATTTCAAATCTCCATGGGGTATGTGGATCTTGATCAGTTAATCCACTGAGATCAACCTGTTGGACACCCCTCTATTTTGAAGAATACATATCTCATCTTAGGGATATACCTACCCATGCGTCCCTGGCTCAACAGCATCCAGAAAAAGCTTGAGTTTGGGCACTGTGGATTGAGGAATGTTTCGGTTTTTTTTGAGAAGTAACCAATAATTAAGAAAAGATAACATTCCTGACTGGCTTCAGCAGTTCTATGAATTCTATTGCATTCTCCCCTTCTCTCTCCCACAAAAATATATTTTGAAGTAAAATCAGTGCACACCACCGCAAATATCATTACCAAACTCATGGACAGAATAGCTGGGCAGTCAGAAAGACATGGGTTCAAATTCTACTTCAAACATTTACTACCTGCATGGCATGAGGAAGTCACTTAACTACCCTGAGTCTCAGGTTTCTCATTTGTAAAATGGGATTAAAAATACCTATAGTATCAACCTCACAGAACCAATGTGAAGCTGAGATGAAATACTACACTATAAAGTGCTTTGCAAACCTTTAAGCACTATATAAATATCACTTGTTATTATTATTATTATTCTTATTCCCTGGCATAAAATAATCAAAGAGAGGTCCATCTGTTGAAACAATAAAAACACTAATTTTTTGCTTTGGGTTTTGGTCTTTAACCACAGCCTCATTTTACTCCCAGTGCAAGTTATGGGTCTCTCTTCTTACCCTGGCAAATTCCATCGGTTTTGGAAGCAGGCACATGACCATGACATCAAAGCGAACATCACACACGGTCTTCAACCACTTGGTGACAAACTGAGGTTTCAGCTTTTCCACTAAGCTTCCGACTTCATCATCCATCATGTAAGCTGTGGAGTGGAACCACTGAAAGACCATGCTAACCAGCCTGGCTAAGCTTTCAGTAGGTGTATTCTCACTAGGGGTACAAAGACTCACCTGCAAAACAGCAAACATGAACCCAAAGTCAGATACAATCAATCAATATGTACTTACTATTACATTTAAATTCAGGGTGGGGAAACAGATATGTCTAATAATCCATTTAGAGTAGGCAGTTCCACTGAACTAATAATAATAATAATAATTCACATTTATATAGTGCTTTAAGGTTAACAAAATACTATCTAAGTCTGATTTCTCATTAAAAATATTATTCTGTATTACACAAAAAGATTGTCAGAGTCCCAACCAACGCTCCTTTACTAATTCCCACCCTCATCCCAAGGACTTTAGAAAGGTCCCACTCCTAACCCTGATAGAGGCATCCAGCCACAAGCTCTTCCCAAAGACTTCCCACATACCATCCAAACCTCCCGGGTTGGGTAGGTCATTGTAAAGTAGGGGTTCCTAACCTTTTTGTGTCGCAAACTCCTTTGGCAATCTAGTGAAGACGATGGACCTCTTCTCAGAATATGTTTAAATGCACAAAATAAAATATATAGGATTACAAATCAACTACTGAAATATAGTTATGAAAATATTTTCCTATCCAAGATCATGGATACTCTGAAATTTATCCACGGACCCCTTACAGATCTGTGGACTCCAGGTTAAGAACCCCTGCTTTAAACCTGGTCAGATTGTCCCCTTCCATAACAGGGCTTTTCCTGAAAGTTCTAAACTATTCATTAAAAAAAAGCACCTGACAAAAAAGAGCACAGTCCTTGGAAACGAATAATCACTTTAATTAGTAATGACTAACTCACTAACCCTTCTAGAAATGACCCCAGTCATTGCTTCTGAGACTTGCTATATTGATAGGTAATTGTCTTCCTTCGAGGCACTGTATCCATTCTCCAGATCCAGTCTATCAAGCTGCACTTGTGTGAATAGTCCTGGCCCACCTCCAACAGTACAAGGTATATACCAAACTAGAGAAGTCTATCTTCAACTTCCTAGAAATCAAATTATTGGGACACATGCCATATTGAATATGACACTTTTTCTCTAAATTTGGCTCATATAAAACCTTAATGCAACCTATAATTGCTAGAATATTTCATTGCATATCCACATTTTTTTCCTTTTAAATATATCATATTTAAGGGAATGGGGTGGGAAGAACAGACAGACTATATGTATACCAACAAGATTTTCTCTCTTCAAGACATCCAAAGGATACTCCCACAAGGTCAATGCTATTCTCAGCTAGCAAACCTCCTAAAAGCCTAAGGATACCCAGTGATTCTTGGAGCTGTTGTCATTGATTGGTTCATGCCACACTTTTCCACCCTCACTGCATCATTAATCAACCTTCTTCAGAAGAACCACACTTTTACCTAAGGTCTATCAGGCCTTTGAAGGTAATCCAGCATAGTACCTATACCAGTGAAATTTGGAGCATCTCCAAATAGCTTGGTAGTTCAACCAGCACCAGTGTTATATATAGGATAGGCTGGTTTCCCTTTAAGGAGGTATGAAAGTTACTCTCTGTTCTTGAGATCATCATTGGTTTGTGTAACTTGCTGTTTGAGGCGTAAAAGGCCCAGCCTATGGGGAATGAGTGTCAAAGGTTTTAGGGGAATTGTTATTGGCCTGTAAGAATATCTTTCTGACAACATAGCCAACTGCCATAGAGAATATGGAAACAAAAAGTAGACATTTTATCTAAATAGGTATTTTTTTAAACCTTAGGAATTGTATCATTTCTTTATCTTTTGTAACTAGTACAGTTGTCTTTATGGCATTTCATAATCTATGAGTGTCTTACTGCATTTCAACTCCATGCCTAAATCACTGAATTGGTTTTATTTAGGCCTGTCTCAGAATCAGATCCTCTGGTCACTTTTCACTTGGTTTAACTTCAAGATACAATAAAATTATTGTATTTTGAGTCAGAGCACCTGATCCAAATCCTATTATTTACTGCCTATGTGAGTTTGGGCAAATAAGTCACTTCACCCCTTGGAGTCTAAATCTCATCATCTATAAAATCAGGGAGTTAGTCTACATGATCCTATGATCCTAAGGTCTTTGTACCAGTGAGTCAATGCTTTCTTGTGCAAGCCTGAATACCTCATCCTGACTAAAGTGGTTACATAAAATAAGAGCTCATTTTTTTTTCAGTTTGCAAAGTACAGCCCTGTGAGATAGGTTAAATAAGTATTATTATCCTGTTATAAATTAGGAAACTGACTCAAAGAGATTAAATGACTTGTCCAAGGCCACACTTCTAGTAATGAGGAAGCGTAACTCCAGATGACTCCTGACTGCAAATCCAGTTCTTGTTCCACTTCTTGGGTTCAATTCAATTCAGTAAGAGCCTAGTAAACGACACAGTACCTGACACGGACAATGTACTGGAGACGCAAAGATAAAAATGGCAATATCTTTGCCCTCAAGGACTTTACATTTACCATCCACTGAGTTGTTGCAACTGTAACTTTTATATGACCTAAATCTAGTTACATCTTATGACTCTCATCCAGGAGCGAAGGCAATAAGATCTACGTACACAGGGAGCCTTTTTTTCAGAAGTCATGTTGCAGAGGGATATTTCATAGCTCAGTTATAATTGGCATCTATAGCCATTTATACATACCTATCTTTACACAAAAATTCTTAACCTGGTATCCATGAATTTATTTTCTTTTTTAAAATATTTTGATATTTGATCATTTTTAGTATTGTCATATGATTGATTTCCTTTGTTTTATGCATTTAAAAACATTATTTAAAGAAGGGATCCACAGGCTTTATCAGACTGCCAAAAGGGGCCATGACACAAAAAAACATTAAGAACCCTTGTTCTAAGACTAGTCAGAATCACTCACCCAGACAGTGCAGATTATGATGCCCTGGCCTCTGACCCTTTGACTCTAATTAGAATCCTATGTTCACTGACTTGAGATCTCTGGCAATTCCAAGTGTGGGAAGATATACATCTTTACATCCACTTGCTTTTTCCAGTTATGTATGTTAGGCAGAACTCTTCTGAGTAATTCTGAATCTCTCTGAGAAAGCTCTGCAATGTTCTATGGTTTCAAGTAATCAGAATGTCATCCTCAATTAGGAGCATCTGGGGGAAATCTTACCATTTCTAGAGAATCCCTCTCCCATTTAAATTCTGCAATGCAGAGCCTTCACAACCATGGCAAAATTTTTGTTGAGTATAAGTCTCCTTGCTTATATATTATTTAATAATAAAAATTAAACACTTTATTACTGCCATTAAAAGAGATTCAAGAAAATGTTAACAACCTCCATACACTTATTTTGCCATCTCAAAGTTTTATGAGAATAACATAAACAAGTATTGTGAGTATTCCTGATGAATACAAAAGAAGGGAAATAGTAGGCTTTCAAAGACATCATTCTATATCACATCATTCTAAAGTCACATAACTGACTGAAATGTCCATAGAATGCAAGTTCCCACAGTGCTTATTATTTATTAGTCTATAAAAGCATTTGATTTAGTAATAAAGGCCTGATTTAAGTCTCCCCTAGCAAGATGTCTCCCATGAATACAATCAAATCACAACAGATTCATTGAAAGACAACAGAAAAAAAACTTTGATCAATGAACCTCTGTTTAGTAATATCAAGCAAGGCATAAGATAAGAACACATAAGTTACATTGATAATTTTGCTTCTTTCAAGGTTACAGTGGTTCAAGATTCATTGCTGTATAACATTATGAGGATTACTGATATTTCCATACTTCCGCACTTTGATGGATCTGTGGTCTCATCAATGTGTATATTCTGTCCAATAGTGCATAATGTAACCTATCCACACAGTTTCATCCTATTTGACTTCTGACCATGTTTCACTATAAATTCTCCAAAGGAGATCCAACTAAACTGTTGAGGACCTATTTCTAGGTCCTATGATATTGTACAGACACTAATAAAGTTTTTGCTACAGGGCCAACCCATCTCTTTTTCCTGTCATACATATCTCTGATTACATAATTTATACACCTTTCCCTTATGCAATTCTTAATTGTTAATATGCTATAGCCTATTCATGTGTTCTATGTTTATCCAGTGCTCTCTGGTTGACCCATACCTTTAAGTCTTTGGAGGCCATGGCATTATATGTTTCATAGACATACGACAATACTAGAAGAATAGTGATGTTGGAAAAGAAGGGCTTTTGCTCCAGGATGAAATTTGAATTTTGGTTTTTTTAAAATAGTGCAAATTCCAAGTACAAATTCCAAAATGCCATTCAGCTCACTTGCTTCCTCTTCAGTTCTAGACATTGCTCATTGTCCATTTACTCTGTTTGTCCAAAATATGTATCAATATGGACCAGCCCTCTGGGCTGATCCTCCAAATATATAACATAGTTTGAACAATAGACATTTTTCATCCGCTTTTTTTTTTCTTTTATGAAATGCTGTGCTAAGCTCTCAAACTTAGGAAACAATGTTTAATGTAATCAGCGCATAGGTCTTAAAGAGGCATTGTGGTGCAGCGAAAAGAGCACTGCAGCAAGGATCTCCATTCAAATTTCATGTAGTGTCACTAGTTGGCTGACCTGGGGCAAATCCCTGGACCTTTCTAGGCCACAGTTTCCCCATCTTTAAATAAGGTGGTTAGATTAGATGGCCTCTTTGGAAAGCGTGTCTCTCTCATGCCTCATTTGATATTCCTATTATGGGGTCATCAAGCAAAGTGTGTTCTGTTGTTCTATATTTCAAGAATTTTTGAATGATTTTAACATATAGAGAGGACACATCTTCTTGGAGACGTGTTTAAATTAGCATTTTGCTCAACCAAATTCTCTATTCCTTTCAGTAAATCGAATAACTATAAAGATGTGGAACTCTGTAGAATATTATTTATGAAAGCCTTCCTGTTCCCATCTCATACCTTCATCAAGTATTCTTTCTTATAAGAGTTTTGTAGAGGAAGTTAAGTAGACCTATAGGTCTTAATTACTGATATTTTGTTATTCTTTTTCAGTACTATTAACGCTTGAAGAGGCAGTGTGGTACACCATTAAGAGAGATGGGCTCAGTCAGGAACACCTGGGTTCAAGTCCCACCTATGATATATTGGCTGTGGTGCCTTTGAAAAGTCACTTAACCTCTCAGCGACCTAGGCAACAGTCTAAAAGTGTAAGTTACAGAGCAGGTGTTGACCTGCATTGGTAAAGTAAGTTTCCTCATCAGAAACTTCCTATATCAATGAAAGTACAGGTCTATTAAAAACAACATACACATAAAAAAAAACCTTGTGATTTCCTCCTTCTCCCTCAAGAGTTTGGTCTCTCTTTACTATGAAGTGCTATCTGTGACCTCAGAACTGTGTTGGCTGCCTCAGGGACAACTTCTATATATAATAACTTGCATTTTACAAATATTATTTCATTTGATCCTCACAACAACCCTCAGAGGTGGGTGTTATCGTTATCCCTAATTTACAAATGAGGAAATTAAGGCAGACAGCGGGTAATTGACTTGCTCAAAGTCACAGAGCTAGTAGGTGTTAAAGGCTGGATTTGAACTCTTCTTCCTGACTCTAGGTACAGGACACTATCCACTGAGACATCAAGCCATTCCCCATCTTGCTCCTCTTCCCATTTTGGGAAGCTGTGATGTTAAGAGTCCAAATGTGGTATCTCCATAATAGAGAAAAGGTCTATTATAGGATTCTTTATAGATTTTTTTCCATTTTTTATCTGTTCTTCTAGTTTCATATTTCGGTAAACTTGTTTTTCCCTGATTCTCACTGTTTTATGAGGTGATGTTGCTTATACTCTCACACCAGTCCCCTTTGTAAGATTTTACAAACAAGTTTATATTCCAAACCAGCGTTTCTGTGGGCTAACACTAGCTCATTCATACAATTTCTTTTACTTTATTCATTTTGGCAACTGATTTATATTGATAAAATTTCCTTAGTAAATGGTGATCTTCCATGTTGATGTTTTTTTTCTTTTATACAATACCCTTTTTTGATGTCAATAGTTTGGTAAAATAGGCCAGGCAGGAATTATTCTACCTGGAGACTTTCACTTCCAGCTCTGAAATTCTGTGATTGCAACTTGATCTTTATTTTTAATCTTTGCTGAAACAGGGTTGTTGTAAAAGGATCAAATTAGATAATGTATATAAAAGGCTTTGTAAACTTTAAAGCACAGCAAAAATGCAAGGGCCATTATTAATGGTAATAATTAATAATAAAATGATAAACACACACAGCAATTTGGAGGTTGGTCCCATATTGGTAACCAATCATTTCCTAACTGTTAGACTGTAATCAGTTTCAATTTAGGTGAAGTTATTCAGTGCTCACCATGTCCAGAACTTCCCAATTCTCTTCTTTATGAATTTCTTAAACTATTCATGATATATAGGCATGAGGTTTCAGCACATTTTATCAGCATTTGGCTAGTCTTATTTTCTCATAAACTATGTTTTTCAATATATTTTTCACTATTACCCCATAATATCTACCTTGTTATCTGCCACTGCATTGAAGTTACCAACAATAATACATACAATGATTTCATTTGGAAGGTCTTATTGAGCTCTTCATTGAATTTCTCTACCTTCTCATCCTTTGCAACTAATACTAGCACATAAGGCTCAATTTTATTCAGGGTGGTCTTTTTGCAAATGCTTAACATGATTACTGCACTATGAGATAACTGAGTATCCCATGAAATAATGTTTACTCTTGCCTTTAGATACACAATAAAACCAACTCTGCCAATTCCTTAACTGCTTCTCCAAGGAGAACCTAGTATCCCTCTTTTCATTTTGCTGCTACTTCTTTTTGTCCTCTGGTTTCATTTATAAAGAAAATGTCATGACTGATACGAATAAGTTTCTCCAATAGACTATCCATTCATTGGTCACTGAACAAGGATCTCACATCTAAAGTACCCACAACTAAGTTCATGTTTATAGATGGTCTAAAAACTATGTGATTCTTACCCTTCCCCCTTTTCTGGCTAGCCCTTTGTTTATACTGGGTTTGAATCCATTTGGACCCCATTTCTTTTTCCACAGGAAAATATTACCCCCAACCTCAACAAACACTCTAATTACATCAGTATATGTTGGCTAATGTTCCCATACAAGGAATATAACAAAATCAAGTTTGAAATGCCAATTTGGTAAATAATTTTAAAGGAATATGAATGATGTGAAAACACTACTAAATAGAAAAAATCAGCTCACTGTGTGAATCTCTGCTCATGGATAGCTATGCCATATCCACAACAGGATGCCATTTCATGTAAGTCTTGGATATTTGGGTGGTTCTTGATTTAATAGTCCTTAGTAGCTAACTTTCCTCTTTGGTCCCCTGTATTACTCCACTTTTAATCCAATGAAAAAAGCGCTTCACTGCCTTGAAAGGGGTTAGGCCCCCTGGCTTCTATTTCCACCTGAATAAAAGATATCCACAGTCCCTTTTTCATTCCTGATCCTTACAAAAAAGAAAAGCATTTAGGCTCAAGCAATGAAATATCTCAATAAGGCTTGTTTTTTTTTTTAAATATAACTGTAAATAGCCTGATGTAAGGGGGATGTTTATAAGGCCAGGAATTCTGTGGATCAGAGCTATTTCTCGCCCCACCCCCAAAACCAAGACTCTGATTAGAGGCCCTATATACAGAGTCTTAGACTAAAGTAGCAATAGTAGTCCAAATATCTCTAGCACGTTAAGTTTTGCAAAGTATTTTTCTCATAACAACCCTGCGAAGTAGCAAATATTGTATATACATATGTAAAGTTGCTTTTCAGTCATGTCCAACTCTTCGTGACCCCATTTGGGATTTTTCTGGCAAAGATGAGAGTGATTTGCCATTTCCTTCTCCAGTTCATTGTACAGATGAGGAACTGAGGCAAACAGGGTTAAGTGACTGGCCCAGGGTCACACAGATAGGAAGTGTCTGTGGCTGGATCTGAACTCAAGTCTTCCTGATTCCAGGCCTGGCACTCTATCCACTGTACCACTTAGCTACTCAGCAAATATTGTTATCTCCATTTAACAGATGAGGAAATTGATGCTCATATGGTTGAAGTGACTTCCCCTACTAAGTGCCTGAGCTAGGAATTGAGCTCAGGTCTTCTGATACAGTATCTTATTTTTCCTACTGTACCATGATGCTTTCCTAATAGCATATTACTAAACAATAAAACTTGTGCTTGCCATGACCATCCAAGCTGTGTCTGTATTCTTTCTTCCAGCCATGAGACCTGATCATCACTGACTATCACACACATCTCAGGAGAAATTGTGAGTTTAGTTCCTGGGGCCACTCAGGCTGTTCAAAACTGTTGTGGCTAAATCAACCACACTACTGTCTGATTATTCATTAACAAGGCCAAACAAGATGATTCAATTGTCCTGGAATCCATATGCTGGGCCATGTGTAGAAACAGTCATCAAAATAACCACAAACCTACCAAAAGCTCCCTAGGACCTGAACTATCAAGAATATTTGCATGTAGATGAATGTCAGGTCCCGTGCCACTGCCTGTACTGTACTAAAACCAGAAGTAAAACATTATATCCTGCCAATGTCAATGTTTGGTTGTGTGCCAAGAGGTACATTACAACCATCATACAGAACCATACCTTATGCTTATTGTTTCCTCTCCATTTTACTACATTACCCAGCCAACATTGAAAAAACAGAAACGTACAAAAACAAAATTCCTCATCTGTGGAATCTCATAATGAGAAATGCCTTGGAAGATAGTGGTGGTTTTTTTTTTTTTAAAAAAAGGTACACACATAGAGATAGAGATAGAGATATATGCCCTTACTAAGAACCATATTCCAAATTGGCTGAGCAGTCGTTGGTCATGTTTATCATCATCTTTGTTATCAAAGTCAGTGTTATCCAAGGAGTGGTGGGAAGAGGAAAGTCCCATTTGTCTTCGACGGTTTAGTTCATATTCCCTCTGCTCAGCATGAAATTCAGCTTCCTTCAGCAAGCTGTAAAAAAAAAAATGGGGGAGTTTCATATCAAATAGTCTGGAAACAAATGGTAGATAATGAATTATGCAGGGACAGCCATGAAACCTAAGTATTGGTTTAAACCTCAGAGATCAGTCTGGTACAATGGAAAAAGCAATGCATTTAGAGTCAAAGGATATGGGTACAAATCCTGGCTCTGCCATGTAATACCTGTGGGACCTTGGGCAATCTTTTAACATCCTAAGGAGATGCTAGTTTCTTTATCTGTAAAAAGATGGGGATTTAACCAAATAGTGTGTTATCCCTTCCAGTTCTGTATTTATAAACCTGTGAGCCTATGGCCTTTCTAGGTCTTGGTGTCCTCATTTATAAAATAAGGAGAATGGATTCGATCACTTATAGGATCCCTTCCAACAATAAATCTATGATAATGTAAAACATGAATCCTCTCTACAACACCCTAAACAAGTGGCCATTTAGCCTCACCTTTAACACTTTCAGTAGGAGGGAACTCATTTCATCTGTATTGTACAACACCTCTATTTTATAAATTGAAAAACTAAGACACAGAGAAGTGACTCCCCTCAAAACACATAGGAAAGTCATTGGAGTGATGGAAGCTAAACAAAACCCCAGTTCTGTTTACAAGTTCTTTCCATAGGATCCAAAGCCTCCTTCCCCTGTCTTTAATTGCATGAATGCTGTAGATACATATAAGACTACGAGGGGAGGCAGGAGGTTAATTTTCTTTAAAGTTGATTGAGAATGGGAATACAGAACATATATCCCCAAAAGGTGTGAAAGAGGAGCAACACATTTTCTGACCCATGCAGTGAAAAAAATGAATAAAGGAAAGTATTTACATTTATTTATTTAAGAGATGCTGTTTTTTTAATTTCCAAGGAAATAGGCTCAAAACAGAGATGCATCTCATCAGATACAAACACTGCAAAAAGCTGGTGCATCAGCATCTACACATGCTTATTTGCAGATAAGAGGCAACCCAAGGTTAAGGCCAGCAACTCTGCAGTCTGTCTCATTACCTAATCACAGCCTCCACTGTGCATACAAGTTCCTCAGCCCCACATTCCCTTGTGTTGATTGGTGGAGGTGATGTCTGATACAGGTGGGTCTCTGCTGTGGCTCCTGTCGACCCAACTTCATTGCTATGGTGGTTTGAATGGCACCTTTTGCAGTACCGGACAGGCCTATTTCCATGGCGACCACAGCACCCTGCTGAGAAGCAGGTGACAACAGCCCTCCTCACATGAGAGCTGCAGTTCTGAAAGCAAAGAAATTTTTAAAATTAAATGACCAATGTAAATTTAATTAAAAAATGGAACAAATGGGAACTTAATGGGCCAGGCAAATGTATCAGGATTCTTGAAAACGGAAATTAGCATTTGAAAGCAAGGTTCTCTGTAACCAGTTAGCTTTCAATAATGATGAAATGATCCAAAATGTTTTCTATTGGTCTAATAGAATCAAAAGGTCAAAAAGAGAAATGTTTTAAAACTCTAAATATCTAAAAAACAAAAGAAAGCAAAACCTTTAAATATCAACTGTGCTTCAAAGCTCTCTCTAAGCATACCTCAATAATCTTATATTAGAAAGAGGCATGAATATCTTTTCCCCAAAACCCACACTTTTTCTGAACTTCCCTATTTCTGTTGAGGACTCCACCATTCCTCCAATCACCCAGGTTTGAAACTTCCATATTATTCCCTGACTCCATATTATAATTCATCTGAATAGCCAAATCTTGTTATTTCTACTTCTACTACATCTTTGGCATAAGTCCCCTTCTCTCCCACTCTAGTACAAATTGTCTTCACCTCTAGCATAGGAACTTCTGAAGTAGCTTCTTAATTGGCCTCTTTGACTCTTCTTTGCACACTCCAAACCATGATTCACACAGCTGCCAAAGTGATTTTCCTAAAGCCCAGTGCAGCCACGTCACTCCTCTTACCAATAAAATCTGGTAGCTCCCTACTTATCACCTCTAGAGTCAAAAATAAAATTCTTTGGAAGTTAAAGTCTTTCACAAGTGGCCTTAACATACCTTTCCAGTCTTAGGACACATTATGCTCCTTCATGAATTCTATGGTGGAGTCAAGCTGGGCTTCTTACTCTTCCTCGTACATGGCATTCTATTATATGTGCCTGTGTACAAGCTGTTCCCCAAGCCTGGAATGCTCTGTCTTCTCACCTCCACTTACCCTCCTTTGACACTCATAAAGGTCAAGCAATATTTTTGGTAGAACTGTCATTTTTATTATATTAGCTCAGCCTACCCATGAGCAACTGGTATTTTTCCAATTATTCAGATTTGACTTTATTTGTGTGAAAAGTGTTTGTAATTGTGTTCATATAATTGCTGGGTTTGTCTTGGAAAATAAACTCCCAAATATTCTATATTGTCTACAGTTATTTTAAATGGAATTTCTCTTTCTATCTCTTGCTTCTGGGCTGTTAGTAATACATAGAAATGCTGATGATTTACGCAGGTTTATTTTATATCCTGCAAGTTTGCTAAAGTTGTCAATTATTTCAAGTAGTTTCTTAGTTGATTCTCTAGGATTCTCTAAGTATACCATCATATCACCTGCAAAGAGCAATAGCTTTGTTTCCTCCTTGCTTACTCTAATTCCTTCAATTTCTTTTTCTTCTCTTATTGCTAAAGCTAACATTTCTAGTATTATATTGAGTAATAGTGGTGAAAACATGCAGCCTTGTTTCACCCCCTGGTCTTATTGGGAAATCAAACAACATTTTTCACGAGGCCTTCTTCTCCCGCCCCTGCCCCAGCTGTTAGTGCCTTCCTTGCAGAATCATCTTGTATCAATTTTGTGTTTCTATATTTCTGTACGCTTCTATTGTCTCTATGCGGACTGGAACTTTCTCATGTCTTTGCACCCTCAGTGCCTGGCATAAAGTAATAATCAAAGCCTATTGACAGATCTCATCAGTAGTGGGGCTTCACCACCCGCACCCCCAGATACAGATCCTATTTCTTCCATACTCCGCGAGTTTTGAGGGCCAAAACAAAACATTTATCCCCTGATGGACTGCCTTCTGGTGACAAATGTCTCCGTTCTTGGCCAGGCCGCCGCAGGCGGCAAACACCGGTCCCTGGCTAGGCCCTTCTGACACCGCGGCCCAGGGCGACCGCCTCAGCCCGCGCTCAGCACTGGAGGACTTTGGGTAAAATTGTCCACGTGCGCTTTGCCGCAGCGTTACTGGCCACACGCACATGCGCAAGTGCTCGGCTCTGCAGACTCCCAGGGACGACTGTGCGTATTTTTGTTTGCTCTTGGAGGGGGGCTTAGAGCTACTACCAAAGCCTGGACTCGGTACCAGAAGTTGCCCGCAACCCCAGCCTGTGATTGGCCAGCACAGCCCCGACGCTCCGCCTTCCTGACCCTGGCCCAGAAGGCAAAGGTGCAATACTGCGCATGCTCCAAGCTTGGACTTCCCATTTGCTGGACCCCTACCCCTTCACGCTTATTCACATGGTCAGAAATTAATTTTAAACGTGTGTCTATACACATATATATATCTTATATTGCTGTATTTTATATTTATTTAAATATACATTCCAAAATGCAACTTTGGATGAATATGTTCAGATAGGTGCATATGTGTATACTTTTTTTTTTTTTACCAGTCAGGTGATTTTATTACATAGAGAAATATTGGTAAGGGAACTACCCCTTCCACCTGTTTTTGGAAGTCAGCACCTGATGTGCAAGTGGCAGTCTTAAAGAGTTGCCTAGAGAGTTTAAGTGATGGTTCAGAGATACAAAACCAGGACGCATTAAGAGGCTACAAGTTTTGACTCTGAGGTCGTCTCTGTATCCACTTACACTGCCTCTCATGTGTGTTAATATGTAAATATATATTTATTTTCCATTCAAGTAAGTTTTCTTTCATGCAAATACTGGCACGTAAGAACCAGGACTGTCTGGTCTGTTCTTCAAAGCTTAGTTGGGCTCCTGGAGCTTTATCACCAAGGAGTGATGGATTTTTTGCCCTGACCTCTTTAGAAAGATCACCTACTAAAATACACAGGGACTACAGTCCGCATCATTGCAGTTTATGTGTCCACCCTTTTAAAAACAACCAGAAAAGTATTTTTGTTCAACTTCAAAACAGGAGATTTTCATTCCACCCTTATCTTTAAACAGCATCCAAGGACACTTCCAAAAGTTTTGCTGCACTATGGGTGACCTTAACTGACTGGCTGCTCCAAGCAAGCTATTTCCATTCTCTTCAGTTCTCTATGGGAGGTCCTAAATAACGTGGCAATAAGAACCACAGGAACACTCAAAGGCAGTAGCACAAAATAGGGATAAGGAGACTCCTCCAAAGGAGAACTGGTTACAAACCTCAAATAGAAGGGAGGAAATACATTCCAGAGATAGAGGGTATGAAAATGGGGTATTGACTGAGAGAGATTCCATCGTTTCAAGAAATATTGTTAGGTCTTGTCTTAGTAGTAGGTGTGGAAACCACTTTCCTACCAGTACGGACTTCAGGGTCTCCATTTACACCCCCATCACCTTCCTCACCAGCTGGGGCCTGAAATTCTCTAAATATAGGTAAATTCAAGTCTATCCTAGTCAAATGTAAATGCCCCTGGGAAGGAACACATTTTAGGTCCTCAGTTTAGGATTAATTTAACAACCTGCTTTTTAGTCTTGGCAGGAGCTGAGGGCTAAAGGGAGCTATATGTATGAGACATAGCATAAGTACATGAAGGTACTTATGGAAGGGAGATGACAGAGTGGTGCTGAAAGGAAAGGAAGGATAACAAGCCATTTATTGCCTAGGATCAACAAGAGGTACTGCATTGCTTATAGGAAACAATCATATTAAAACAAAGGTTTGAATTAAACTTTGACCATCACACAAGATGTTTAGCTTTGTATTCTTGCATTTTCCATACCAGAGTCAGGCTTTCAAATAATGGAAGTTATGTAACTAGGGACAGACTCAGACCTATTTCCCAAAGTCTTTGTCTCTCTTAATAGTCTGATAGAAACATCTATCTTTTTCCTTTTCTAGTAAATGGTGTCTACTCTTGCCCAAAATTACTTCTTTCAAATCTGAGATGTCCCTTGACTCTTGAATCCCTTCTTTTCCCCAATATGTATGTTTTCCCACTCTGACTTTCAAGACCACCTTCTTCCTTCCAGTTTTCCTTTCTGCTTAGCATCTTTGTTTTCTCTTTCTCACTCTGGGTTTATAAGCATATAAGCCTACCACGCATTATACTACCTGTTACCTTTGGAGCTCTGTTTCCAATCTGCCACCTCTAGTTAGTGACAGAGCCAAGATCAAAATCAGAAACAGATCTCCTGGCTCAGATTAGTATTCTTTCTACAACAATATATTGCCTCTCTTGTTCCCTTATTCTACTCAAATAAGTATTAGATAAAGAAAAAAGATGGAAAAGACAGAGAAACTCATGGTTGAAGGCAGTCTTAAAAAAGAGAGAGAGTTTTGGGGCAAGGAGGTCATGTTAATCATTTAGCTTAACAAATAAATGACTATCTTCTATGCATAGAAACAGGATTAGTATATTTTGTGCACATATATTTTAGTACATACCCCCTCCCCACCATCACCATAAAGTCTTTTTAGCATGAAAGTTGCACCATTTCAGTAAATTTAGGCTTTACATTGATTTTATCACTGTTCAGGTATTTTGGTGGAGTGTTTTGTTTTGTTTTTAAACTAATTCCTTATCCCATCATTTTGGGTTGATTACACATAGTCTCTATTATTATCAAGCACACTGTGCAGGATGGATTAGCAAGATCAGGGCTGAGAACACTGGCCATATGAAAAGTAAGCAATCTTGCATGCTAAATCACTTTTTCCCCCTTCACAAATTATGATCACATAAACATTTTAGAGACCATGGCATAGAAATGAGGCACATGTTCATGGAATGAGATTATGAAACAAACACAGAAAGTCATGCCTCACCACACAGATGGTTTGGTCTTACCTTTTTCTGACATATAGCAGATATTTCAGCTGTAAGGGGAAGGTATACAAAACATCAACAGAGAAAGAAAGCCCATCTCACCAAGGGCATTCAGGGGAGAAAACAAACTTAGTATAAAGTTACCTCTGGAACTGGTCATAGAAATCTGTATTCTTATAAGTCTCCAATATGGATATCTACTTCATCTTGGCCTGTATCTTTAGGCCCAAGTAGTCCCTCAATGGGCCACAAAGCAGTCTTAGAGCTCTTTTTCATCAGTGGCCAGTAGCATGCAGCATAACCATCAGCTTCATCATTATCATAATACCTTACCTTTATATAGTACTTGTTTCTGCATATATTATCTCAAATGATATTCATAACAACCCTGTGAGGTAGGTAGTACAAATATTATCCTCTAATTAAAAATTAGAGGCATTAGGGACCTTAAGGAATTGAAGTGGTTTTAGATGAAGTAAATCCAGGAGATCTGTTTAGAATAGAAGTGTAAGCATAGTACCTATCATATAGTAGTATAGATTAATAAATGCTTTTTCATTCAATTTTTTTTCTTTTAAAGCATTATTGTAGTTCAGCAGTTCTCAAACTTCTTGATCTCAGGGCCCCTTTAGATTCTTAAAAATATTGAGGACCTCCCAAACAGTTTTTGTTTATATGGTTTATATCTATCTATATTTACTGTCTCAGCATAATTATGTCATAGATAGATAGATAGATAGTTAGATAGATAGATAGATATCTCAGCATTATTATGAAACCAGTTTTAACTTGTGGATCCTCTGAAAGAATCTTAGGGTTCCTCAGATCACATATTTGAGAACTACTCTCCTAGTTAATGAATATGCCAATAAAATGTCACTGGCTTTCTAGATACATATATATATATATATATATATATATTTATATGTGAGGTTAGTATAAAGTATAACAGTAGAGCTTTAGACTATGCACCTACATCTACACAATAACACCACTTCTACTTCAATAACCTAAAAATTCTGTCATTTCATCAGTTGTGGGCACATCTTTGGTACCTACAAAAAACACAAAGATCCCAATACTAACAAGTCATAATAAAGAGTCTTTATAACTTGGTGTGACCCAAAAGTTTCATTACCTTGTGGCCAACCTTCTGATGATAAGTGCCTCCAAATTTAGCAAGACTGATACTCTGACGACAGGCCCGTACTCAAAGCCTCTCCTGCTTAGTAGGGTCTGGCATAGGTTGGGCTCCATTAGCAATGCCATGGTAATTTAAATATTAATAATAATAATGCTTTGGAGGAGGACTTCAGAGAAGGAATATCACAACAACTTATCAAAAAACTGAAAGTTAATTCATCCACTGGTTATTTTATTTATGCAAACCCAAATAAACAGTTTTACTGATTTATTTGTACAGAATTCTTTATTGACTATACCAATTATCTTTCTCTACCATATTCTCTTTAAAACAGCAGTTATCTCTAGATAATGGAATTGGTAAAGGATCACTATACCTAAATAAAGTGTACATATGGCTTTGCCAGTGAAAGCCAGACTAATCACTACACACATTAGGAAAGTTTCTCAGTATACTCTCTTGTCCTACTCCATCCTAACCCGACCTTCAATAGAATGGCAAGAACTGGAGGAGTAGCAATGATTGCAGGAGGGGTTGCTGGGAAATGTTTTCCAAGGTTTATTTTTTACCACCTTAAGTCAACTACCATTCTGTTTGGATAACTCAGTTCACATACGCATCACCAGATTTAGGGGAGGGGTGTGTGTGTGTGTGTGTGTGTGGGTGGGTGTGTGTGTATTCATTCTGAGTGACCTGAGCTCTATACTATCTCAATGAGAGCATTAGCAGCACCAAAAATTTCATAAGTCATTTGTCCATATGGAAAACTTTTCTGGTCAATGGTTCTTTAATGCTAACTGCTAACCCCTATTTAGCTCCATCAGTGACTATTAGGAATCAAGAAGGAATTTAAAAGGCTGACTTAAAGATAGCTTTCCTTGAAACCTCTGTGTAGCCAAGGGAAGGAGCAAAAAATAGGCATAGAAAAAGGATAGTTTGCAGAATGAATCTCTAAGAAGAATCACAAAGTAATACAGTTGCACTCAAGATCTAGCAGTGGGTGGGTAGTAATATGGGTAATGAATAATTAGTAATAAGGGACTATAGGAAAGTGATGGTTATCCATGATGAACCATGAAACAGATAAATCCACAAAATAGCCCCCAATACTTTTCAAGACACCTTAAAGAAGGTATTCTAAAACAATGGAAAAGATCAGAGGTGGTGTTTTTATCCCTAAAAAAATATAACCAAGAAAAAAAATCAACTACCAATCCATATGTCTACTTTCTCATTTATATAAAATCTTTGTGGGAATGGTATATTTTGATTCCTACTCTGAGGAAAAATTCAGAAGGGAACAGGAAGACTTTTTGGGAAGATATTCTATGGCAAATTGCATTTTTATAGTCATATAATTGAGAAATTTAGAGAATGTAAGATCCCCTTATGTTTGTTTATTTGTTACTTATGCCCCAAAAATATTACCTTGGCAGAATAAAAGACCACCTTAAAGGCTCTATTCCAAACAGGTACTTCCCATGTTTTTCTTAGAATTATATAAGATTCCATGATAGAGGCAACCACAGAGAACTCTGTTCAACAATAGAGTATCAATACCAAGTAAGGCATAAAATGGGGAGATATATACTAGTCAGTGATGATTGTTTCGACCATGGAGGATCTGGTATGGGAAGTCCGAGAAAAGAAAGATTCCCTGAAGATGATAAGCTTCTCCAGATGCTCCAGTTTGCAAATAACACTGTACTGATTGCACCAAGCTGCATAACACTATAGAGCAGACTCAATGAGATCTACAGCCTTTCAAAGGAGATCATTTAGCAATCCAGAGGGAGAAAAAAACCAAATAGATGAAAAATGTGCATTGTTAAGATCATGACATGCATTTAATGGGCAGTGCCTTGAGTAATTCCATCAATATGCATAGTAGCTTAAACAAGGATTGAAATTAGAAAATTATATGGGCCCACAATAAAATAGTAGAAGAAAATTGAATTGTATGTTTGGAGAAGCAGCATAATGCAAAGACCATCTTTTTAACCAATATTGCCTCCATGATGCTGTAGAGAATACTAAGTCACAGAATAATCAAATTTTCAGGTGACCCAAAGACACATGGTATAAGTGGGCTATGCCATACTACCAAGTATGACTAGTACATGGCAAGATACTAATAAAAGACATAATAATCAAAAGTATATATGACCAGGAAAGGAGGTAGATTGGTCACATAGATCAATTGATGAATAACAGATAGAACAGCCTAAGTATTGCATTGGCAACTATGAGACAAGAGCCTTTGCACTAGCCTTCCTGCCTCAAGTCTCTCCTCACTACCATTCATCCTACAAACAGCTCCCAACGTATATTTTAGTTAAGTGTAGATATAAACATATCATTACCCTATTCTCATGGCATCATCTTCCTGATATCATGGTCCTCTTCGAGAACAAAGGACAAACCACACAACTCTACTCTCAATAAACTCTAGTGGCTCCCAATTGCCTTTAAGCTCAATAAAAACTCTTCTGTTTATCATTTAAAGCCCTTTCCAACCTGAATCCTGCCAATCTTTTTAGCCTCTTTAAATATTACCCACCCCGTTCCTACCCTTTGCAGTCCAGTCAAACTGACCTTCTCTTTGTTTCTCACACATAGCACGATGTAAAAAATTACCAGACTATATATACCTCCCTAGTCTCTCCCCTCAGCTTCACCTCCACATCATCAACTGCCCTTTGGACATTTTGAACTGGATATATGGTAGGCCTCTCAAAGTCAATATGTCTAAAACAGAACTCAATTTTTTTCTACCAAAAATCTCCTGTCTTCCAAGCTTCCCTAGTATTGTTGACAGTATTATCATCCTCCCCAGATTCTCAAGACTCAATGCCATCTTCAATTCTTCATTCTCACTCAGTCCACAAATATCTCTCATGTATATCCCCTTCTCTGCATTCACACAGCTGCCATTCTGGTTCAGACCCTCAGCATCTCCAGTTTTAATCATTACAATAGCTTCCCTACCTCAAACCTCTCCTCATTCCAATCCATATTGTACTATGTTGTTAAAATGATTTCCCTAAAGCATAGATTTGCCTTCGTTATTTCTCCTTTTTCAGTTAACTCCAGTGGCTCCCTATTACTTCCAGAATCAAATATAAATCCTTCTGCTTAGCATTTGAAGCTTTTCACAACCTAACCCCTTCCCACTTTTCCAGTCTTCTTTTTCTTTACTTGCCTTCACATATTCTATGATCCATCTTCACTGTCTACTTGCTGTTCCTTGCAAACAATACTCCATATCTATTCTCCAGGCCTTTGTACCATCTGTCCACCATGCTGGAATACTCTCCCTCCTCATCTTCACTTCTTATGGGTCCTGAATTTTCTTTTAAAAATAAACTTAAATCAATAGAGGATTCTGGGAAGATGGCAGAATAAGAAGGGAAACACCGGGCTCTCTGAAATTCTCCCACAAACATATAAAAATATTGCCTCAAAGGGAATTTTTTTTGCTTTTTTTTTTGATGGGCAATCAGGGTTAAGTGACTTAACCAGGGTCACACAGCTAGTAAATGTTCTATGTCTGAAGCTGGATTTGAGCTCAGGTTCTCCTGACTCCAAGGCTGGAGCTCTATCCACTGCGCCACCTAGCTGTCCCTTATCAAAGGGAATTTTGAGCAGCAGAAATAATTAAAAATTGGGATAAAGTCTTCCTAAAACAACTTGGGAGACCCTAAGGAAAACTGACCTCCAGGGGCAGAGGTCTAGTCCAATTGAAGTGCAAACACCTCTAGGCAGATTCTGCAGAATCAACAAACAAACCCCAAGGGCTGGTGGCAGCCTCAGCAGCAGAAACTTCCACCTCAAGGACAGTGTGGGGTCATACAGCCAAGCAGGAGAAGATTAAAGGACCCTCCACAGTTGCTAGATGCCAGGCAT